TCTGGGATCCTTGCCTTGCCCTCTAGGACCATAAAAAAGCTCTGGCATTTATTTTAGAATGAGAGTCTTGGTGCTATATTTAAAACCACTAAAGCTAGCTCCTACTCAAGCCTTCAAACACTAATTTAAAAAAAAATTCATCTTGATTGTATTTCGACGGTTAATGAAGACTAGTTAGAGAAGATGTCCTATTTTGGGCGAGAGGCAGTGGATGTCCAAAATATAGGCTGACTTTTTTTTCTTACCTAACAAATCCTAGACATTATTCACCACCTTGAAGGGGGAGAAAAGTAGAGGGAGCAGAGTAGGGAGACTTTTCAGGACAAAGCAGTCATAAACGATGACCATTATTTAAGATTTATGATGAAAATGCTATGTATAAATAACTCACAAATGAATCATAATGGAAGCAGTGAAATTTCTCTTTGGCCTTTGGAAACCAGGAGGGGTTGCTGATACTGCTGCTTACCATCCCTCAGAAACACAGTGTGTATACCAGCTTGTGCTTCTGAAGAGAATGAGGAGAAATGTGCTTTTACAGACCTAAGTCTACATGTGCAGCCGGCTCCCCAGCTCCGGTCACACTCCCCCCTCCCCAGTCCCTCAATTCCTGGTTTTTGCTTCTCTCTGCTATTTTCTCTCCAAGTGTCCGTTTCTTATGCCGCCGATGCCACCGGCTGCTGCCCTTGCTCTCCAAACAATGCTGCACTCTCCCAAGTGTGACCGTGGTTCCCTGGACACTGTTTTTAAGAGGCTTTGTCTGTGCTGTCAGGCTCCCCTCTTCCTGCATCAGGAAGCAGCTGATGATTCGGGGGAGGCTTGGACCCTCTGATTTGTTTCATCCCTGAGCCACCACCATGCTTCATGAGGTTGGGGGTCAGTGGATTACAAACACTGAAGGTGAGTGCAAGAGTGTGGTGGAGGGAGCAGAGAGTCAACAGCTAAGAAAGAAAAAGTGAGTCTTGCAGGTAATATGGTCATTTATCTAAAATCCCAAGAGATCAATTGAAAACTGTTTGGACTATAGTAAGAGGGTCCACTAAGGTGACCAGATACAAGCATACAAAAATGAATCATGCTAGAAACCAGGCTTTATGTGGTGTCTGACTTAGAGCTGTAAGACAATACTTATTTTAATTGGCCATCGTGACAGCAATGGTTGGAGAAAGGATGGAAAAGATGAACACAGAGAATCTAATAATAAAATTCCTTCTCACCCTAGAGACAAGCAAATGGGTTTTTACAGTGAAACACAAGCAGTAAAAATGCAACTTGGGCAGTTTTAGTTTTCCCGTTCAGAGTCATCCTGTCATGGTCTCATTCGAGGATAACCAGCCTCGTGATTAATCAGCTACATGTCTTGGAATGCCCTTATATTTCTCGTAACCCTTGCTCCCATCCTAACAGACCGCTGCAGCGAAGTAGCACAGACTTGGGTTTACAGAACTCCAAAATTGTTGTCCTAATACCAACATCAACCAATTAAACAATTATAATAGAGACATAACAGTAGACTGGAACAAATGGAAAGATATATAACATTATGGCGCATCCGGGATGGGAAGACTCAATATTGTAAATAGGACCATTCTTCCCCTAAATATAAATTCAACACAATCATAATCAAAACACAATCAAGTTTTTATGGAGGTTGACAAGCTGACTCCAAACTTCACCTGCAAGGGAAAAATGTACGATAATAATTAACATAAGATCAATGATAGGGGGCATCTTTTGCCCAAACAAATAACTAAACATACTATAAATAAGTACCAATTCATGCAGTGTGCGATTTCTATAGGTAAAGAGATCAACAGAATACAAAAGAACTGAAACAGACCCATGTACATATGTAATTTAATCCACACTCAAAGTCAATTTCAAATAGATGGGAAAAGGACCAATCATTTAACAAATGATACTGTGCCACTGACCATCCAACTGGAAGCACATAAATTAGATCTCTAACTTGGCAATACCAAAAAAAAAAATTATGGGTTGATTTAAACACTAAATATGAATGGCAAAATTATAGAAGTTTTAGATGAAAGTAGAAAATATGTAGTTTGATAATTTGTAGCACAGAAGGCCTACCTAAGGAGATATAAAACCCAGAAGCCATGAAAAAAGTTACTGAAAAACGTAATTGCTAAACATTTGTTGTAATTGCTTGAAGCAAGGCACCGTTAGCAAAGCTAAAACACGAGCAAAGGATTAGAAGAAAATGTCTGCAATTTGTGTAACACCCAAGAACTTATTAGCCAGGACATATTAAGATTGTATTACATTAAGACAATAATTAAAAAGAGCTCAGTTTTCCAAAATGCTCAATTTACAAACGCAGATGGCTAATACAAATATGATAAAAAGCTTGTCCTTAATAAAAGGACTGGGAATTGAAAGAACATAATGAGACCCCCTCCCCAGGTTGTAAAAATCAAATGGTTTCATCACATTCAGCACTGGTGGTGTGTGAAGAAATAGGTAGGCTCACGTGCTCCCGAAGAAAGTAGAACTGGCCATAAATAGGAACAGCTTTGTGGAACTGGCAGTATTAATCAGGAATGTTAAATATCACGGCCTTGCGGCGAATAATTTCACTTCTAGGTGTCTATGTTACAGAGATAGTCATGGACATAGAAACATTTGGATAAGGACAGTTACCACGATATTTTTTTGTAAGAGTTTAAAAAAACAAGCAAACTATCTATAAACAGCAAAATTTAAGCGATGGTGCATCTACTATGAAATATTTAATGGCTAGAAGGAGGGGTAAGGAACATGAAAGGATATTTTTCTTACTTTTATCATCTCCTGTCCTATATAATTCTGTGATGGTTTAAACTATTTTTAAATGGATTAAGTACTTAAAAAGAAACCAGTTCTTTTTAAGGCAAGGAAAGCACAGATGGAGTCACTGAGCACAGCTCTTGTTAACGCCAATCGCGTTCACCTGTGGGGCCGTCTGGTCTCCTGTGAACCAGCCGCAGGGGCTTGTGGGAAAAAGCTGCGGCGGGATTCCGGGCGCAGCGCGTAGCCGAGGCTCCCAGGGCATCTAAGCCTTCACGCCCGTCTGCGTTCGGCTTTTAAGAATTCATTAAAATTTTAGGTGTTTTCTCTTAATGGCTTGTTTTAACACAGCCGCCTACTCCTCCCCACTCCTGCAAACGGTGAGGCAGATTGTGTGTTCTCCCGGGAAGGCCTGGCAAGTCAGTGCATCTGGGCCCTTGGCCATCCTCGCTCTCTGCCGTCGAGCCTATGAGGTAAGTCACGAAGTGCTCGCCTCCAGTCTTGGGGGTTCGAGGGGGGCGGCTTTGTGGTCAGGCGGGCCCTGTATGAAAGCTCTCATGTGTAGTGATTCCAGCAGCTCGTTTTAACAAGTAGAGTGAGGGTTCAACCCGGAGACGTGGGAGTCAGACAAAACCCACATTACAGCTTCCTACCAGTTTGACTTTAGGCGTCCTCATCCATAAAATGGGGTCGATATCAAACACACAGCCGACCCCCTAGGCTTTTTGTTAACAGGAACAACAAGAAATGCACGGTTAAGGGTTTTATTGCTCTGCTTGGAACACAGTAAGTTCCTAATAAATAATTATTACTTTCCAGAAACAGGTCTTAGGATACAAAACTTAGTAAGACCCATTTCCTGCCCTTGAACTCAGGATTGTGCAGAAGCACAGCCAGACTGACAGCTACGTTCCGCATTTTGTGGTAGCTGCTCCCGTGAAGCATTCTACTGGGAAAGTGCTTAGCCCAGCTGGGAGGCGGTGAGGACAGAGCTAAGCCTGGTGGGATGAGTTAGGCCAGGGATTGGGGTGGGGAGGGGTGGCGAGAGGGCAGGCAGGTGGTGAAAGGAGGAAGGACTATTGGGGGTGGAGGGAGCAGGGGAGCAGTGGACTCTCATGGTGGCTGGGTGGGTGGGGGGTGGGCAGGGGGAGTGTGTCGTGTGTGTGGAGGACAGGGCAGGGAGCCGCTACTGAGAGAGGAAGCAGGAGACGCCAGCAAGGCTGGAGAACTGTTGTGAACCTCACTGGAGAGCCTTTAAAAGGTTTTAATCGGGTTGGATTATTTTAGAGTTGCATCTGAAGATGAATCTGATTGCTGGAGAAAGGAGGATTGAGGTGGACGGAGGGGCAGGGAGGCCCCCTAGAAGGCTGTGGCCACTTGCTGATGAAGATAACAGCCTGGGCAGGGGCAGTGAGGCCCGGGATGATGGTGAAGAGGGGTGGACTTGATGCATGGTCAGCAGATAGACCAGGCGGGACCGGGCCACCATGTGGAGTGAGGGGCAGGAGGTGTGGACTTAACCCTAGGCTCCAACAGAGTGAGAGCAAAGTTGTCAGCTTCATGGAGTCAGGGGCTGGTGTGGCTGCAGCTACTTGGGTTTGTTTTCTGGCACAATCCCTCCTGAACACCCAGGTGACTCTTACGTAAGGCAGTGGGACTTTGGAATAAAAGAGAAAAGGAGAAGTTTCTCCAAAACCGGACACTGGGGAAGGAGCTGCCTGCGAGACCCTCTGAAGGCAGAGCAGCCTCCGGATTTGGAAGCCCCAGGGCCCTAACGTCTCAGCTGCAAGGGAGACAGACACCAGTGTCCAGCAGGCACACGGCTGGGTGCAAAGCCAGAAAAACTGGGGGCAGTGGCCTCGTGAGTGAGCGCAAGTGAGAGACCTTCTGGGAATGAAAACAAATACTTAAGGGACATTTTTTACAAAGTATTAAGGCTGTACCTGAGCAGGTGGGAAGAGCGCTGGTGACATTTGGACAATTATGATCAATTGTGATCCAATCAGTACCCCCAGGATTAGGCCGCGCCTTCTTGAAGCTGGTAAACTTGGTAAAACGCCTAGAACTGGAGAAGTTCGAAGACTGACTTTTAATTGACATTTCACCCTCATCCCTTGCTCTGTGCCTGGAAAAAGCGCTGCGCCTCACGGCTCCGCCAGGGGGCAGGAGAGGTCACATTACACAGAGAATTAAAAAAAAAAAAAGCCCAAAGTTTTCCCCCAAATCTGTGTTCTTCCTCATGAAACCGAATCCTCCAGCTGTGGCGTCCCAGGCGCCCGCCCCTCGCCCGCCGCCTCCCTTGGCGCCCCTGTCCTCACCCTGCGCTGTCCGTGCACCGCGGACCCGCTGTCCCCAGCGCCTCTGCCCCTTGCCTTGAAGATGAAGGTTTGGCTGCTGCTGGGTCTTCTGCTGGTGCACGAAGCGCTGGAGGATGGTGAGTGACTCTGGGTGCGGGTGCTACCCGGCTTGTGCCCTGACTTGATCCCCGATCCCCCCAGCCCTCGACGCCCTCCAGTTCTTCCTGTAACTTCTGACCTTCCGAGGCCCGGCCCTGGAGCCACTCCCTGCCCCGTGCACCTGCCCTCTCTTAATAGGGTCTCCTTGCGTCCCTCTCTCCACCTCCCCTCGGAGCCCCTGGGACGCTGGCAGCTGCCCCGGCCTTTAGGCTCCCCACCGGAACCGCTCCAGCGCTCCGGTAAAGCCGAGCATCCCCAGGCAGCGCCTGGTCCAGCCCCCAGTGTCAACGTGTCGGTCTGGGAGGCGGCGCGGGCTCGCGGATCGCTGCCACCTCCCTGCGATTTTCGCCCCGGGATTAGGATCTCTGCTTCTGAGGGTGGTGCCGCCGAGGCTGATTCCTTTGCAAAATTCGAAGTGTCCTCCTCCCCCATCTGCAGTCCTAGATTTGTTTCGTGTATCAACTCGGGCTTGAATCCTGCAAGATGTGCCTAAGTCTTAGACTACATATTTCTGTATTAAACCTTTTCAAAACGACTCAAAACCTCACAGCTCTTACACTTCTATAATTGGAGGGGAAAATGAAGAAAATGATGTTTGTACAGTGGATGGGGGCCCTTGTGCCGCTACAGTTTTTTTTTAATGTGTGCTGGTCCTGGGTCCACCCTGTTGTGTAGACTCAAACCACAGGGCCAGGCTCTTGTGCATGTGTGTGTATTGTTATATTTCTATTATCTGTATTTCTGTTGGCATTTTAATTCTTTTGTTGGCTACATTATTTATGCGATTGGTGGTACATTTGTACAGGTATACTTTGCATCCAGTACATCCTGGCATCCTGAAATCTTCCTTGGAATTCCACAGGTCCAGCCACTATTTCTGCTTAGTTTTGGTTGAAAACTAGCTTTTACTGTTATGCAACCTCACGCTGGAGCCAGCTCAACCTGGCCCACATTTTTATGCACTATTCAGTCCTGACCAGTTCCTTTCTTCCCCATGAAACCAGAAGCATTTGCCAGAAAAATACCACATTCTGGTTTGCAGAGTCCAAAGCAGTTGGGGGACTTGCAGCTGAGCATGTGGATCCTGAAGCTCGGAGCCCTGCTGAATACCATGTAGGCAGTGCTTCTGCAGGGGGAGAACAGGTCCTTTTCACCCAGAGTTGGCATGAGTTTACGTTGTAAAATGCAATATTAAATTGCTCCTGGCAGGTCCTTGTATGTGACCCGCTGAAGGGACAGAAATGTAGCATTTGGTATCATTTTTTGAATAGGACAAGAGATGGTCAGACAAAATAATTTCAAGTGGCCCATTTACTTGCTTATCCAGTTCACCCAAGATGACTGCCTCAGGGGCTCAGGAGGCGGCCTCAACCTCTGCCTCCTTGATCTTCCCTGGCCAATGTGTGCCCAGCCCGTGGGAATGATTACAAACATCTGCCTGAATCAATTGGCATCTGTTTAAGTCTCAAATATAATTCATACAAACAATAAATATTTATGAGACAATGAGAGAAAGTTAAGACAGACTTTCTGGGGGCTGTTTTAATAGTCTGGGTCGAAGTGGATGTCAGGAGAAGAGCCTGGGTTTGGGGTCTGTTTTGAAGGTGAAGCAAAGAGGATTTGCTGCTGGACGTGGCTTTGGAGAGAAAGAAAAGAATCGTATGTGACCTGGAGGTTTTTGTCCTGAGCAACTAGGCGAAGAGAGTTGCCATTTACTGATAAGGGGACACCAGGGAAGGAGCTGATTTGAAAGGGCATCTAGAGGTCAGTGTGGGCAAGTCCAATTTGAGATGCTTGCTAGCCTTCCAAGCGGCAGTGCTGAGTAAGCAACAGGATATTCAGGTCTGGAGTTTAGAGGCAAAGCCGGGACAGGAACTGGGCCACACTCAGCACAGAATTGCTGTTAGCGCCAAGCGGCCTGGGTGAGGCCACTTGGAGACTGTGTGTAGGAGACTGAGAGGAGCTGTGAGGATTCAGCCCTTCAGACTCAGCTCAGGCAGGGAAGGAAGATGACAAAGGCCGCCAAACTGACCAAGAAGGAGTTGGCAGGGACGTAGGAGGAAAACCAAGACGGCGTCATGTCCTGGGAGCCAAGCAAATAAAGTGTTTCAAGAAGAAAGGGGTCGTTTTACAATATATACAAATACGGAATAGTATCTTGTACACCTGCAACTAATATGTCAATCGAGCTGTCAGTTACATCTCAGTTTAAGAAAGCATGACGAACTGTATTCTAAAAATGTTTGAGGTCTTTATCCTGAAATAGAAGTATCTAATGCTTAGAAGTTGCTCTTTTAAGAAAATGGCCGTTGAAGCCGTGGTAGGCAGGGCGTTTGGTGGTGGTGGTGGGGTGGTTATGGAAGGGAGAAGGGGAATGAAAGCCTCTCATTGTTGGATGTTTTCATCTCCCTACTGTCACTACTGCCTCGGCTTCACAGACTGGCTCTTGGGAAAGTGTGTGTGTTCCTGTGGGGTGCTGGCGTTTTGTGAGGAATGGATGAAATGAAAGAGGGGCACGTTTCTCAGTCTGAGGAGCCCCTGAGCTACTCAGCACATTCATAGTGTGGTTATGATGCGGCTCTTGAGTCAGGTCTTTTGCCTTAACAGCTCACAGGGAGGGAAAAAATGAACAGCTCCAGGTCTTTGATGTTAATGGCTGTGTTTACATGGAGTCCTCATCTCAGCAGCTGCCAGTGAGTCTTCTAATGAATTAATTTTCTCCTCCCGCACAATCTGACAGAATTAGAGAGGTTAATAGTCAGATCACCTTTGTTGAATAAGGATTGTTTGCAGGCAGTCCATCCTCAGCTGATGCTGAAGAGTTAAGAGCCCTTATCCTGATTACTTTTCTGGCTGGGTAACACTTACTCATTCCTTTTGGAGACGTGTTTGACCAGCGTCTCCTCACTTGGGGATTCTAATATGTGCCTTGGAAAAGCATTGCCAGCCCTTCCAGGAAGGCTGTGCCCTCATCCTGGGCATCAAGTTCTGTTTGACTTGGAACTCCTCGCCGGAGCCTGGGCCGACCACACAAAGAAACCACTTAGACAATGGTCCTGTGCGTGAGATTCGTGCCAGTGAAGGGCGGCGCTAATCTCTCGATGAACTGAAAGCAGCAACACGGACCAGAGAAGGCTCCAGACCTGATTTTCCCCTGCCTTCTTAGTAACCTGGGGTGAGCCACTTGGCACCTGTGGTTTCCATTTCTTTTTCACCTGTAAGTTAGGAAGAACAGTTGCTTTGCCTCCATCAAAACTTTATCGTAGAGATGACCATGAGACTTCATGGGACAACACAAAGCGATCAGCAGCCGCCCACTAGTGCTTATACTGGTGGGTCAGACACTAGTCTCAGAGTTTTAAGCATGTTAACTGACTTCATCCCCATGACAACCCACGAGACAATCATGAGGACCATGTGATTCTCAACTGACAGATGAGGAAATAGAGAAGGGACATCACTTCCCAAGGTCGCACAGTAAGTCAGTAATGACTTTCTATTCAGGACCTCAGGTCCATACTGATGTTTAATGGTTTGTGGATTTTGCCACCTATTTCTCCATAAAATATTCTGTGCCATAATCTCAAAAATGCAATGGTAATGGACTTTCACTTTTATGTCTACAAGACAAGTTCACATATTTTTAGGCCTTTGGGGAAAAAACAAATTTACTTAGTCAAACTGAAGCATCATATTCTTTTAAAAAGTTAGACATGGGATTTGGAAATCGCTTAGTCCTGATGTCATGGGGGGCCACTAATCTGACTCCTCTAATTTAGTGTCATTGCCATCAATCCATGGGCAAGTCCACTGTATGGCAGCTGGACTAACTTATAGTTAAACCAGCTGATGGGCCTGTTTGGGCAAATGATTTTGCACACGCTGGAAGGCATAACATCCGTAATTAGGTAATCGATTGTTCTGGAGTAGCATCACCACACAGAATCTGAGGGCTTAGAAGTCAGGCAAGTTGCACGGGCGGTCTGAATTCCCCAGGATTTACAGACAGTTGTCATTGCCGATATGCTTGCATGGTAAAGAACACACACCAAATTAGACATCAGTTCAGAGGTCCGTGACTGTCACAGGCACTGTGGGAATAAAATGCTTTCAGGGCACGGATGACTTGCAGGGCTCACGGTTAGGCTTTTATTTTCTGCCTCAAGAAAGAGACAGTGACTTATACTCTGCTGCAACACTGAGGCTCCTGCTTCACAACCGATGTTGCTAGGTTAGTATATTTCTGTTCCCAGCGGTTACAACGCCTTCCCTTCTGGGAAGTTGGGGAAATGTGTGTGTGGGTGCCAATGCCCGCCCCCATCTGTCGTTAGAACCCTGGGGGTAAATACATGTGCAGGGCTGGGGGAGGTCTTCACGAAGGGCAGGTTCAGCAGCGGGCATCGGGGACTTGCCTTGGAGGCTGAGGCTGGAGGACACAGCCCTGCTCCCTGGAGGGACTGAGAAAGCTCAGCAGAGCCTGGGAGCGGGAGGGACCAGAGAGGGGGAAGGATGGGCAGGAAGGAGGTCACAGATGGACCTGGAGTCGTGGGAGGGATAGCTGGGCTCAGGGGGCAAGGCCGCTGACCCCAAAGAGGCAGCCAGTGAAGGAGCTGAGTGGGGGCTCAGTGGGATGAGTTCCAGAGTCTGGGCCAGGCTGAACCAAGGGTAGAGGCCAAATGGCTTCCATTTCCAAGGGCAACGTGCCCAGGAAGCCACAATTACTCATTGGACTGAGTTGCGTCCCCACCAGTTCAATTTCTGGTACAAATCTTAAGTGTGGCTCCGTGAAATGCTCACACATTGCACCTATGTGACCAGCCCAGATCAAGGCCAGCGATCCCTCTCCTGTCCCCTCCTGGTCATCCCCACCTGCTGAAGAACACCACCACCTGACTCTTAGCCTCAGAGATTCAGACCTGAAGTTTCTAAAAAATCAAGTTTCTGGTCTAGATAAGTCAGGAGACCTGCGTTTCCGCCATCCTCTGAGAAGGCATCTCCTGTAACGCTGGGCATGTGCTCCCCAAAGGCAGCCATCCCTTCGGGAGGGCGTGGCCACGGCAGGCCCAGCTGGCTCACCCCGTTTCACCGCCTGCCTGGCCCGCTGGTCTAAGAGCTTACAGCACTTGCCTGTTTCTATCTCTTGATTCCAATTCAGTGTCTTTGTACTTTTGATCACCCCAAGCCCTTTATACACCAAGGTAATACTAGATAATCAATACGAACGTCAAAGAGGGAAAAAATTATTTCCTTCCAATTTATCAGTTCCCCATTTTATACAAATGCCTGTAATTCCCTCAGTTGGCCAAGGCTTGTGTAGTTATCTATTCAAAATATCTACAGGCTGTTTATGTGCATGGAGTGAAATGGGAGTCAGGAGAAATGAGTTTTACTCCCTCATTCTGCCACTAACCAGCTTTGTGCAATTTATTTAACTTCTAAGGCCTCCTTTTTTTTTTTTTGAAATCTACAACATGAAAACTTAAACGATCTCTCAGGATCCTGTCAGCTGGGACGATGTGTAACTCTGGGCTCACATCAAGGTCGCCTTTGGGCTGGTGCAGACAGCAGGGCAGACGAATCCTCCCCTTGGCTTCTCACCCTCGCTGGGTGGACACAGCGCACGGCCATGCCGGCGGGTGGACAGTGGAGATGTCTGGAGCCCAGAGGCATTCCCATGGCAGGACAGCGTTGTGTAGAGAAGGGGGAGAACAGCAGGAAGAAAATGGACTTGAAGTAGGTCAGTCCATTCCTATTTATCACCATTCGCCAGCAATTTTCAACAGTGCTGGTGACACAATCCTCCTGCTCCTGGTGCATTTTAAGTTCTAAACCATTGCTACAGTTACCGTTGAGTTTGAGTAACGTATATGTGGCTTTAAATGAGCACAGGATTCAGACTTATTTCTTTGTAAGCCTGTGTCCTACATGGATGCTGTCAGCCCTGACACAGACGACACTGCGCACTCATGTGGGAGGAAGTTCGTGATGGTTGGAAATCTTCTGAGTGTGCTTGCAGCGTCGCTGCGTCTCCATTCCCTGAAGACTACATATTCCTGCGTTTAAACAGTAGTTTCAACATGAGTAATGACAGTACTGAGATTGCAAGGACCAGAAACAGACCTTGAAGAGGCTTTGGTTCTGCCATCCTGGTGGCTGCTTTAGAGCTAGTGAGTCTGAGTGTGCAGCACAAGGAAAAGTAGTTTTGTTTGGGAAGCGTGAATTGATAAAATATTTTGCTGAATTTGAACAAAATCTTTGAAGCTGAAATCTGTTCTCTTTCAGTTACTAACTGGTTTAAAGAATGAACCAAGGAAATATTGATTATACCTGAGAATAATTTTGACATAAGGGGAGGAGGGTATTGAAAAGTGATCTGTTTTAGGGGCTGAACATTCTGGGTGTGTTAACCTCCAAAGCTCATTTTCCTCTCCTCACGTTTGTCCCAGTCACTGGCCAACATCTCCCCAAGAACAAGCGTCCAAAGGAGCCAGGAGAGAACAGAATCAAGCCTGCCAACAAAAAGGTGAAGCCCAAAATTCCTAAAATAAAGGACAGGCTCTCAGCGGATTCAACGCCAAAGACACCATCTATAATGATGCAAATGATGGATAAAGGACGCTTCCAGAAGCCCGCTGCCACCCTGAGTCTGATGGCGGGGCAAACGCTAGAGCTTCGATGTAAAGGGAATAAAATCGGATGGAGCTATCCCGCCTACCTTGACACCTTCAAGGACACCCGCCTCAGGTAAGCTTGTGTTTGGGTTGTTTCTTTTTTTTGACTTGTGTTGGATCAAGGGTTTGTTTTGCTCCCTTGTGGAATATCGCTTGGTTTCTGACATCTACCGTTTTGCTCTAGTAGCTTATAGAGTGGAAGCTCAGTGAGCAAAAGCTCTCGATTTTATTTCCTCACCCAGTTAAAAATAATTATTGCAAATCCTACCAACATTGGTTAAACCAGTGAATTTTTATAGGAAGCCGTATGACAGGTAATTGAAACGGTGGTGCACAGAGAGAGAAATTTCAGAATTTATTTTGTAAATAATAACAGACTCGATGCTCTATGTCAGTTTTTTAAGTAATTGTACTGAAAACTGAAATGACCTTCCAGGAGGTTCCTGTGGCCAGAAACCAGCTTAAACTATGTGTGACCTTTTCAACTGCTTCTGATTCGTTGTACTTCCCCAAGTATATAACTTTTATATTCTGAGGCATCTATTGGTAAGAAGGCCAAAGATTTCTCCTATCTGAATAAGTACCTTCAGGAAGCGCAGTTTTTGTTCAGGAAAAGTGCTTAAGATGAAAGGCAGGGAAACGGCATGTTTTAGAGGGTGCCAGGGAAGGGCGAGGGGGCTGTGAGGCATGTGTATCTTTGGGGAAGCCCCCTTCACTCCCTGAAGAATGAAGGGAATTGGACAGTGTGCTTCCTAAGATTCTTTCCAGACCTTTTGTCACGTGATACGGGATAGAGAAAAAGAGGAGATGGTCTGCTTGGGGTGAGTGGAGTGGGAGAAAGAAAGAACGTGGCTCTCAGACATCCATCCCAAACTCTGCATGTTCAAAATACCTTCCTATTTCCACACAAACACCACCTCCACAGATCTCCATCCCCTTCGAGGACACTACCATCCGCTCAGTTGCTCAGCCTGAAAACTGGGGAGCATCCTTGCCACCTTCCTCCCTCTCTCCCTCCCTACATCCAATCAGTCACCAAGTTCAGTTACTTCAGCTTTCTTAAGAGCTGTAAACCTGTCCTCTTTCCATCGCTGGTGTCGCTACCCCAGCCCCAGACGTGTTACCCTGTATCACCATTACTGCATTAGGTCCCCCTCCATCCTCCTGCGCAGCTGGAACCAAGTTTAAAAGGTGCACGTCTGATGGTGTCACCCGCCTACTCAACACTCAGTGGGTGGCAAGGTCTAACATCCTCACACGACTCTTCAAGACCTTCCCTGATCCTGTCTCTCTGGAGTCACCCCTATGCCTAGGTTATTGTCTCTGCTTCCACTGGCCCGGGTTCCCGTGACATCGTCAAAAGCACCAAGCTCCTGGAGGCCTAAACCCTGCTGCTTTCATTGTCTGGACCACTCGGGGCCCTCTTCACCTGGCTGACTTCAGCCTCAGGGTCACTTTTTCTGGGAAGCTCGTGTCAGGCTTCCCTCGGTTTGCGTCCTCATGGCCCCCTGCGCATCCTCTGTTGAGCATCCTTCATGCCTCTAACTCCTTTGTTTTGTTTTTTAAATCTCTGTTTTTCACTGGAACTTAGTTGAGTTCTTGGCATTTAGCTTTATCTGCTGAATGATTGGATGACAGACTCCCCTGCTTCTTTCTCACACACAGACGCCTTGGAGAATAAATAAATTAATATATTTGTGTAAGTAGTACCCCTCTATCTTTCTGACCTCTTGTGTTAAGCCCTCTTTCACATTTTATTCTGAAGATGCCCTTCTGGCTCCATGTGATGGCAGTGTAGCTTTTTTTCTGAAGGGTTATCAGGCTGGGTGAGGAGTAGCAGGCGGGAGAATGAGACTGCTTTTCCCATTTTTATCTCCACCCTTGATGTTTGTGTGTGTGTGGTGGGGGGTGTATCTATTGCTTGGGTCAAATCTCGCTGGATTTACTACCAGGTCCCTTTTAAATGACTTAATTTACCAAAGTCAAATTTACATGTTTTTTTTTTAAAAAACCAGAGTTGAGCTGATTTAAGTTATTTGGAACAGTTAGTCATTGAATTATACAAACTATCCTAAACCTAAATGATTTGGCCCTTGAAGATTTCATATTTTCTAGGAGTATTTTCAAAGTTACATTGGCCAAAATATGTTAAAAAAAAAATCTTAAGGACTCAAAGTGAAGTGAACATGAGTCTGAATTGAAGAGAAATGTCCCAGAGCTGAAAAAACCAATTTTGACTTAGCATTAAATAGTATTCATTCAAAGCACAGTTAGGGCTTTATAAGAAAGTGAAGACAGATGTGGGACCCCAAGGACTTGATGGAAAAATGTGAAAAATGTGGAAAACATCTAGTCATGACTCCATATCAAACAACGACAAAAATCACGATTTATTCGACACCAGAGATTCAACAAATCGGCCCTTGACAGCCTTCCCGGAACACGGGGCCTTTGGATAGAGCAGTATTCATCCTGTGTTTTCTTTTCCCGTGGAATGAGTTCTCTCCAGTGTTCTGATGGTGTTCTGAAAGTCTGCTCATTTTAAGCAATTTGGGTAGCTTTCCAGAACTAAGTTTGCCTGCTGCCACATTTGTCCACATTTAATCTTCTGACCAGAAGAGGGGCGTGTTAGGGGGCAGAGGTCAGGCTGAGGCACGGCTGTATGGGAACCCAGCTGCTACCACTGACCTGCAGGGTGATCGTTGATCAGTAATCTCCCTAGAACCCAGTTTCCTCACCTGGAGTATGGAGATAATATTATCTCCAGTAAGCGTTGCCTGGCCCACGGCAAATGTTCAATAAACTGTAACTAGCTGTTACTGGGCAACACGTATTTCTCAAGGACAGTAATCCAAGTGATCTTTGGGGACAGTTAATTCTGACCGGGAGTCACACAAATGAGGGAGCTGTGCACAGCCAGCGTGGCCTCTGATGTGGAAGGTCCAAGAACGTTCGTACCTCCCTTCCCCACTTTCATTTAGTTGAGCATTTCTTTGCCATCTGGGCCTGTGTTCCTCTGCCCTCCTGAAAGTGTAAGCCCCTTGAGGGCAAATACCCCATCTGATTGGTTCAGGCTCAGACTCCAGCACCCAAAACAGGGCATGACATCTTCCAGAAGTCAGGAAATTTTTTTTTTTGGTTTTCCCCAAGGGTTTAGAGGCTACATCAGAAGTCAGTTTCTAGTCATGCATTCATTCAACATTAAAGGTTGTTATACTTAGCGTGAACGTGTGTGCTGTGTGCTTTGGGAAGAGGTAATGGCAAAGCATGACTGTACCTGACAGGGGGCTGTGCCCTGGGATCGTGCCCCGTTATCCCCCGCCTTTGTTGTACATTGACCTCCAGGAGCCATTAGTCAGTTGACCCCCTCAACCTTCTCCCTCTTTACCCACCTGCGTCCTTCTGTCTCCACTTCTTCCTCTCTTCATCTCAGACTCGAGTCTGTCATTTCTCCTGAACTCTTCTTGTCTGTCTGTTTTGTTGGGGGAAGTAATTAGGTTTATTTATTTATTATTTTGTTAATGGAGGTACTGGGGATTGAACCCAGGGCCTCATGCATGCTAAGGACGTGCTCTACCACTGAGCTGTACCCTCCCCTCTCTACTGAACTCTTAAATGCATCCTAAGTTATTCTGCCCTCTCTTTTCCCTTCTTTCCCTCTTGGAAGTGCCCAACCCCACACGAGCCTGACTGCCAACCTTCCCCGGTCAGCACGTGGACCCTGAGCCCCACCGGAGGAAGGCATGCAGCTGGCGGGATGGTGCCCGGGGTCTGTGGTCACCTCCCGGGCACCTGGCCAAGCGGAACCTGCTGCTCTAGTGAGGTCACTTCTCTCTTCTTGGCCCTCTGACCTGCCCCATCTTTCACTCTCAGCGGTCGAAATTAGCACCAGTTCACTGAGACGCTGGGGCCCTAGCCCTGCCTGAATGTCCTCATCACATCTCCTGGCCTCCCTGCTCTCACAGCTGCAGTGGAGGGAGGCTGTGGCATCTTGACAGAGGCCAGAGCTCCATCTGTGCCCTGGATCTCATCCTGTAGGCCTCCTCAGGAACCTTAAGAATCAGGTACTGCCTCCCTGTTCTGCGTCTTCAACCTCCCCTTCGCAGTGAGCTCCTTTCCCTAAGTCTCCGTGCTGAGAAACGTCACGTGGCCCCACGTCCCCTCCAGCCGCCCTCCCGTCCCCTCTCGTACCTTCCCAGCCAGGCCCCTTGGAGGAGTCCCTTTAGTCTCAGTGTCTCCACTCCTCCTGTTCACTCTGCAGTCCTCCACCTGACTTCTGCCCCACAACTCCACGTGCGTTATCACCAAGGTCAAGGTCACTCAGTGCACAGTTCTTTCAGTTCCCTGTGGCTGGCCCACCAGGTCCACCTAGCAGATGGCAACGCCCTCTTGGCTTCCACAAGCCGCATCCTGCCGTCTTCCTCCACCTCGCTCGCCCTCCTTGCAGTTTCCCACGCCGGCTCGGACCCTCTCCTCTCCCAGACGTGAAATTCTGGTCCTGGGCCTCTTATCACCACATCCCTCCATTTATCTCCTGTTAGAGTAAATGCTTCTCTTGAGCTCAGGATCCCCACTGCCTCTCACCTGCCTGGAACTTTCATGAGTCTCTCTTGAAACATAAGCACCCAAAACTGAGCCCATGACCTTCCCGCACACCTGGTCATCCCCGCGTCCTTCGCTTCAGGGAAGGGCACTCACTCCATCCGGTTACCCTTGACCAGAGGCCTCGGAATCACCTTGGACTCTTCCCTTTTACATCCACCTCCCGTCAACCCCCGTGCCCTGCCGACACCATTGCTCCATGATTACTTCGAGCACCTCAGCACCACCCGTCTGTCTGCCAGCAGTAGTCACAGATCTGGCATCTCTGTACCTGATCTCGAACCCAACCTCATTCCTCCCCATGGCAGTCAGATCCTTCACAGAAGCACATCTGGCTGTGTGGCGTTCCTGCTGCAGGCCCTTCAGGAGAGCCATTCTGTTGCCCTCAGAATACCGTTGATGCTCCTCCCCCAGCCCACAGGCCCAGGCATATCCCGTCCTGTTTCTCCCTCCGCTCCCCAACCCACTTCA